TATTAAAAGTTTCTGTTGCTTGTTTTTATATATTTTTAAACTCCCTTAGACTTTTCAACTTTTAAATACTTTTCAGTAATGTCCTTTGCTGATGAAAAAGAGCGCACACTACAATATAATTGTATCATGTTTTCTAATAAATTCTTTTTTAATTCTTTCTCCATAACTATTCCTGAAGCATTGCAATGACTAATATAATAGCCTAATATTTCTTCACTCCTTAATAATTCATTTGTAATTTTTGGAATGTTAATTTTTTTAATGCTATAAAAACTGGTTTTTATTCGAAAACATTCCTCAACTTTATTAAATAAATACTGTATATTTTTGTTAACAGCTGATAGTCCTCCTCTGTTTTGCATATCAATTAACTTTTGTTTTATATCATCGGTTAGCATACTTTTATACTTTTATATCATTGGTTAGCATACTTTCTAGTAACAACATAAGAGATTGATAGTTTTTAAAGTTTTTATAATTTTCATATTTTTTTAAAAACGTTTTAACCACATAACCAACTAAAAATTGTAAAGCATCCATTTGAAACTCTGTAATTGGGTTAACTTAAATGGGTTCTTTTTTACCAAACTCTATTACTTTTTTTGAATGTGATATTAGTTTATCCACATATTTGGTTGCAAAAAAAGTGCAATAAGGCTTTTGCAATTCAGAAAAGTGGGATTCTGCACCAAGAACAAAGTCTGCATATATTTTAGAAAAATATCTTTCTACATCACCAGACATACAAAGTTCTATAAAATACTTTTTACTTTCAGCATAAAACTGATCAGTTACAAATAAATTATAATTTTTAATTGGTTTCGTTAAGTCATTGGGATAATAGGATGTATTTAATATATATTTTTTAGCAAGTACAATTAATGAATCAATATCTTCAATGCTGATACAAGAAATTTCATCTTCATTGGTCATATAATTTGATCGTATATGAGACCTCCTTTAGTTTTATATGGCTTTAAACATTAAAGAAAAAATTGATTAACTTGGTCAGAAATCTAAAGAAAAGTAACATAATACTCATTACATAAGAAAGTGAATTAATATAAGTAATTTTGACACACTTGATTAGTTTAAAAATGTAAAAATACAAGATTTAAATTTGTTTTTGTTATATGATTTTTACCTCTGAACCTGTGTCTTCAATTTCTATTTCAATTTCTTCATCAAAAAGATTGCTATTTAAGAAATCAACTAAGATTTCTACTGTATTTTGTTGAGAGTAACTTAAAGCGTTAGACATTTATATCTTTGTTTTTAACAAAACATTGATCACGTGACTTTAAAAAAAAATCGGAAAACAAAAGAATAAAACAATAGCTTCCAGACCAGGGTATATTTCTATAGACTATGTCTGTATTTAGTTATTTATATATCTATGGTTAAAAGCGACCGTCCTTGAAAAATTATGCAGAGTGTAATACTATATTGATAGTTATCTAAATTCTGTCAATGTTGTGCACTTGTTTTAGAATGATTAATGGGGGTGTGGTAAAATATTTGTAAAACTTTAAGTTTCTCTATTACCCTAATATTATGTATTTTTATTTTTTTATTACTTTTAAAAATTATAATTTTAATGAAATGGTTAATTTTAAGCAAAGTTTAGAATTTTGAATTATGTTTTTAATGAAAATATATTTTTAAAACCCTTTTATAACTTAAATAAAGTGAATGTCGATGCGTGGCAAGTTGAAATCATCAGCTTGCTTCTTTTTTTAATATTTGTTATTTAAAATGCAAAACAAAACATCTTTCTTTCTTTCAAAACACACTTTTTCCTTCAAAAGCGTTTTAATTTATATTTTAGAAAAATCGAAAAAGATTAAATTAAAAAAAATCCGATGGTTGGAATCGAACCTGAAACTCCTGCTCTGAACGATGCATGCTAACAACTCGGCTAGGCAGACATATTGTTTAACTTAATTTTAAAAGTAAATAAAAATTAAAAACATAATCAAACGGAATTAAGTGGTAGAGATCAAATTTTAAGGAGATGTTGCCACAATGCAATTTTTAAGTGAAAGTAAAATTGAAAACTTGGTATATGTTTTAGTATGTTATTAACATTACATAATTTGAAGAAAGTTAGATATTTGCGTAAGTTAAATATTAACATACATTTGCGTTGATATTTCTTATATAAAAAAGTGCTGCTTCTCTTTCCCTCTATTACAACGGTTGCAATGGCTGCCAAGAGTATCGTGTCAAACAGGATCAAAAGGGCACTACTACTATTAAATTCAGTATTATTATTTAGGATTCATAAATAGTTTATAATAAAAGCAGGTTGATTTGATTCAAATAAATAGAGATTTTTTAAAGTAAGCACGTTCTATGAACGTTCCGTAAAGTTATGGAAAGTTGTTTAATCGTAGCTAAAATTAACGTTCAATAAACGTTACCATAACGTTCGCTGAGGTTTAGCGTAACGTACGCCGCAAACGTCATTTGAACCATCTTTTGTTAACTCCGAATTACAGTTCTTGATGTAAACTGCGAACAATCAAATAACAAACAACAAACGTAAGCTTCCCAGTAAGCACAGGGCGTTTTTAAAACGTTTTAATTCCGTTCAATTTACAGTCAGACGTTTAAAGAACCAATACAATCGTTTTTAAAACGTTTTTTTGTAAACGTTTTTTTTAATGTTAATTTAAACGCTTTTTTAGCGTTTTTTTAAGCGTTTTTTTTTTTTTTTTTAACAACTTACGAAATTTCTCAGTTAGCTTAAAAACGTTTTTAAAACGTTTTTTTAACATAATAAATAAACGTTTTTTGAATGTACACGTCAATATTTAAAAGAATATGTTTACGCAAATAATGGCATGACCTTCGATTAAGCAAAGTGATTTATTTAAGTAAAAATTATATAAATTAAAATATCTTTAAATCAACCAAGTGTTTGTATTGTTCTTGGAGAATTGAATTCAAAAATATATTGGAGTATTTTTAATTTGTCTTAGTTAAAACTAGGTTGTGTTTGTATTTCTACTTGAGTCAAGTAGATATGATTAAAATGATAAAGTTTTTATGGTGTGGTTATTTAGATTAAATAGCCTAATTGTTGAGTAAACTTGATTGCTAAAGAAAGTTTTTAATTCTACTTAATTATCAACTGCTTTTAATGCAAAAAAATTCGTTTGGATTTAAGAAAAGGGAACAACATTTTTCAGAGTTTTTCTTCTTCAACTCTAAAGAAGAAAAAACAAAATATAATAATATCAGTGGTTAAGGAATTACTATAGTTTTAAAGGCTGAAAGGAAAAAAATATGATGATTTGTTTCAAGAAATAAGTGATTTAGTTCAAAATGTCAATTTAAGATTTTTTATCTTTAATAATACTCTGGTGTTATTACCAAATATTTGGCAGTATAAAACCTATAATATTATATATAATATTATTTACCCTGTTTTACTTATAAATTTAATAATCTGTAAAGTAATTTGTAAAAGATTTTTAATTGTAAAATTTCTACATGAGAAAAAAAGTTTTTAGATAAAATTCAATTATTCTCTATGCTTGTGTTCTGTAGGTTAAAAAATAATAAATAAAGATGGTATTGGTTGTGATGACCAAGAGGTTTATTTTAAGACACATCAATCTTTATCATCATAAAATAAAAAGGATAATTATGATAGATTTCCATTCCATCTGAAGCAAGTAAGTCTTTAGTTAAAAATTATAATATAATTTTTGTTGTAAAATGCTAACACGACTGTCAATATTAAAAGATTTCATTGAAATGATGGGGTTCCAACTTTAACATTAAAAATTACCTGCATGAAGTCCATTATTTCAATATTATTAAAATTTTAAATCTATGGAACAATCTTTTTTCTCTAACCCTAAATCTGAGAAAAACTTTAATATATAGTATAATACTTATTGTGGCTATACCAAAAATTAGCATTGCCACAACCAAGTATTTTACTGTCTATTAGTTTTTCTCTGATTTAGGGTTAGACCAGTAAAGTTTTTAAATTATTAAATTTATGTATTTTAAATATTTTATATACGTAGTTTTGTTAATACTATTTAAAATTTAATTACTGTAAACTTGTTTAGACTTTTAATATTGTGTGTTGGGTCTACTAAATGAGATAAAAACCCAAGGTTCCAAAAAACCTAATATAAAATAGTGTGAGCAAGAAGTAGTAACTGAAATGAACAGCCTAATAGAGTTTGATAAATTTGACTCAGCACATGATAATGTTTTATCTTGTAACTCTGTAGTAACTCTGCAATTATAAATTGCTAAATACTGATTTGACAAATTTTTTCTTTTTTAAAATTTTTTTTTTAAATATATAGTTTTTACTACTTAATTAGGAATTGTCAGTTTTTCCATAATTTCTTTCTATTAGAAACAAAGAGTTCAAAATATTGGTGGTAAGAATTGTCAAAAATGTGTGATAGCTATGATGAAGAGATTAGTAAATTAGTGCATTCCTATAAATACTCTGTTTAAGTTTATAACGATATTACTCCTATCTTACAATCCATAATACAAATCCCATGCATGGCTCTACCTAATGTATTTTACCATAATGGGACAAGTGAATAACCGTGAATTTCATAAGTGCGAACTGGCGTAAGTACGAATTCGCATAAGTGCAAACTAGCACATGTGCGAAGCAGTTACAAAAACAGACATAACCCAGTAAGCACATGAACGTTTTTAAAACGTTTTTTTAACTAGGAAAAAAAACGTTTTTTAAACGTTTTGAATGGCAATACCTAAAAACCGTTTTTAAAAAAGCGTTTAAAAAACGTTCTAAAAAAGTCGTTTAAAAAACGTTCTAAATAAAACGTTTAAAAAACGTTCTCAAATAACCCAAAGTAAACCATAAAAAAACGGCTTTTAAATCTTTAAAAGACGTTATTTTTTAGAAAATATTCCCAAATCCATAGGTACTATTATTAAATTGTTTTTAAAAGAACCTGTTGGTTGAAAAAACGAGAAAAATAAAAAATATA